TGTGTGTAGTTGTATATTGCAATAATAACGTATGGTTGTCACAAAATCCCACGGCACACCCGGACTTGACTCACGGCACACCGTTTGGGAACCACTGCTCTAGAGACTAAATGGAGCCAACATATGGCTACTCGTGTCATTACAACACAGTGCAGAGTAAAGTGCCAGGATTTTGATTAATGTTCAATTTGAAAGAGTTATTAAACACAATGACAGCAACATATGAGTGGTTGGTTTGCCAGAAGCCACACTGGACAATCAGATGCCAGCTCTCCAGTCTGAATTGAACCACAACATTGATAGAAATAAAAGGTTCTCAGGTACTCAGGTCAATTATTCTATTTTTTAACAAATTTAGATTCACATTTAAATTGCCAATGACCCATCAAACCAAAAACAATCAGCCCTACTGCACGATTAACACATACATATTACACTCTTCAAATCTAACCCTTTTACACTGTTATTTAGGACATATGTGACGTGTTCTATCGAATTCAGTCGCATTGACCCAAAGACACATTTTGAGTTGTATACACTGTTGGAAAGAGCAGATTCCTAGCTTTCTAATGATATCAGGATTGTTTTTGTACTCCAAATATTAAGCAAAATATGTCACATTATATAATGACTGTCACCGAGTCATCATTTTGAGAAAAAGGCCTTCAAAGTTTCCTCTTCTCTGGAATCCATCGATCTGATTGATTATTAGCGGCTGATAAATGATCAAAGTGGTAGGCCTACGGAGGGAAGATATTTTGGTTTGGATTACTGGTCTGGGGGAAGCTCGCGAGTGTGTATGTATACGTGTGTGTGTTTGTGTATTTTTGTGTTTGTGTGTATTGTGTTTGTTTCCCGGGGAAAACCCTCACGAGAAACACGGGCTGTTGTTATGCCTGCTGTGACGTCAAGTTACTCCGTTCTCCGCTTGTAATTATGCCGAAGCTTCAAAGCTGTATTTATCATCTGAATTTGCCGAAACAAGTTTAATATTCTGAAAGCCAAGACTTTGTTTATTTGAAACCAGATGAAAACAAACTGTAACGGACCCTTGGTGTCTGGAGGGAATACAGGGATTTTAGGCCATTATGCACAGAAACCTATTTAACTCTGCAGGGAAGGGAAAGTGAAAGTAGTCCCAGTATCACAACATTTTCTTTGCCTAAGTAGGATGAAGACATATCTTTTAATGACTGATTTTAAATGCCATTTTCTTAATCTCTTTCATTTTTTGTAAAGCACTTTGAATTGCCTTGTGTTGAAAAGTGCTATATAAATAAACTTGCCTTGCCTTGCCTTGCCTTGCCTTGCCTTGCCTTGCCTTTAGATACAAAAACATTGTCTGTCAATTAGTCTGTCTTTGCAGAGCTCATAATAAAGCATATTTATAAAATATGTTTTATTTGGAGGGTGCTCTTAGGGGCAGTAATTAGCTCTCTGTGTTCAGGTAATGGCATGGGGCTCTTGGCTCTGAGGCTGAGACAGATTGCTAATGGAGGCGCGCTTGTATCTCCTCCCATCATTCCTTCATCCCCCCCCTCTTTCATTTAAAACACTCTGTGACACACAGCTTTTAAAGGGTCTGGTACAAATCCACCACACCCACCTTTTATTAATGTCTTCAGAGTGTTTGTTTGTATAATTTATATATTTTTAAGTGTTCTATTTATAAATATGTTTTTGAGAGGTGTGTCCATTGGGATACAAGAAGCATGATAGCAAATGCCTGCCTAATGACATTTGTGTGTGTGTGTGTGTGTGTGTGTGTGTGTGTGTGTGTGTGTGTGTGTGTGTGTGTGTGGCAGACTGTGCGGCTCCTCCCGCTCAGTTTATTGGAGTTTAAAGGGAAGACTTCAGACTAAGTGGCAGTAAGCGCTGCCTCAAACCGATCAGATCTACTCAAATCACTGTATGTGTGTGTGTGTGTGTGTGTGTGTGTGTGTGTGCGCGTGTGTGTGTGTGTAGGTGTGTGTGTGTGCGTGTGTGTGTAGGTGTGTGTGTGTGTGCGTGTGTGTGTAGGTGTGTGTGTGTGTCAGATTCATTAAAGTGGGGCTGCGTGGAGGGGTGGATGTATTGACAGGAGGTCGTGTTGCAGCAGCATTTGAAACCTGAGTGGATACCAGAGGACAGTCAGAGCATCCTGTCCTCCCTGTGTCCCCTCTGCTCTCTTTTTGTCCGTTGTTTTTTCTTTTAATAATGTCTCATTTACAACTCCATGGGAAACATTTTGATTTGCTGTTTTAGTTTGTGATACACCCCAAACATTTGAGAATACCTTAAAAAACAAGGGTACCTCATTGCTTGTGTATTATTAGGAGAGAGATAACCAACATATTTCTTATTCAAGACGGTCGTAGAAACAGTCAACTTATGGAACTGAAGAGCATCAAAAATGATAAACCCACAGATAACCACCTCCTGCCTCAGCCGTTTTGCAGTGTAATATATATTATAGTATTTTAGTGCCTTTCAGCATTTTGTTTTCTGATCCACAACTTAACTATTTTGGTTGAGTCTCATTGCTTTCATTAAAACAGTTCTTTAGCTGCCCGGAAAAAACACAGATGACTTAGGGACTTAATGATCATTTTTAGATGAATCCTTTGCTTACATATCATTCCATTGCAAGCACATACTGTAGGGGAACAAATACATAAAAAAAACAACATCAAATCAATACATGTTTTTTTAAAGTGTTGTTTGACAAATGCAATATTATGGACATTTATTATGCATATTCTGACTTTGGGTTATGTTAGTTTCAACATTTTATATTGGTTTATTTAAAAAAAACATTGATTCAAGAACAAATTCTTGTAAAAAAAAAAGGATTTTTGTCATTGGAGGTTTTTGGAGTTTAAATATTCTATTTATAAATCCATATTAGTTGAAAGTCTAAAGGTCCACAACAGACACTGACACTGCATGCATTAAAAAACCATGCACTATCTGTAATTGAAGAGATAAAACATGCACTGCTGTAAGCCTTTGAGCTCCATTTAAAGAGGTCTAAATGCTGATACAGAGCAGTTTGAAAGCGTACCGCGGAGGCTGAGTGTGTGTTCGGTCAGTCAGTCAGGTGTGTTAGCAGATGTCCAGAGTCCCCAGCCGCTCCTGTGGACCCTCTGGAGTCGTTTATCTCTAAATGAGTCCCATCTGCTGGGCTTCTGGGTGGAGAGAGGTGAGCGGGGCGTAGTTAAGGGAAGACTCCTGTGTGTGTTTGTGTAGCACGGCTGTCACCTGCGTGTGTGTGTGTGTGTGGTGTGTGTGTGTGTGTGTGTGTGTGTGTGTGTGTGTGTGTGTGTGTGGTGTGTGTGTGTGTGTGTGTGTGTGTGTGTGTGTGTGTGTGTGTGTGTGTGTGTGTGGGGATCACTGGAGATCACAGTCACTCTGTCTGAAAGAGTGTGATGTCTGTCAAAGTGACGAATGTGGGGTTGTATTATGGAGTGTGATCTCCGAAAGCACTTTAGAGGCATCATAGAGAATAACCCCACTTAGAGTAACATATGTATGCGCTATGCATCTTAACTTTTTGAACTTCTTTCCATCTAAATCAGTTATAAAGTGTCAGTTTTACAATTTATAAATGATACTTATTCACTTTCTTGGTGAGGCAAGAAAAGAATCACATAACTGTCCATCAGACTAAACATGGATGACAACAAGGTAATGGTTAGCATAATTGGTTTAGCATAATTTCTTGAAAGAAAGGAGAAACAGATGCCTTCATTTTGTTTTCCCATTACTCGATTCATCCATTATTTACGTTAGATGGGCTAACCATCTTCTCAGCTAACTGTTGGTAAGAAATCAGATGTTGGGAGACTTTGTTTTCCAAAACTATTCCACTTTTTAAACAGTATTACTAATTGTAAAAAGTATTTCATTGATGATTATGTTGCACTACATTCAAATGTTTCTATATTTTTGGTACAGCACTAGAGCACTGAACTGTCTTGGGATACATTGTGCTATGTAAATAAACTTGCCTTGCCTTGTCAAACTAAACTTAATTTTCAAATGTATATTTTGCTCTAAATGTGCGTTGGGTTGCACTGAAGTAAAAACTGCAAAAGTTTTTGTTTACTATCATTTTTGGAAATAAAAGTTGCTTTTATTAAACTTTATGATAAATTGGTTTTGCAAAACTTTTTAAAATGTGTATGTTGACGTCACGGTCATGCCCCGCCCACAAATCTAAGGCAACAGAGCACCATGGAATAGACCTCCAGTCCTCTTTCGAACACATTACACATGGATATACATTTTTTCACATTCAGGCAAACCACATTAGCAAGTTTAACCAACTCAAAACATGCACGTTCATCCCGCTCCTCAAAAGGCTTGGAAACTGTTGGTGTTTTAGATAATTAACTGATGTTAGAGTGTACACAGCTGTCAACGTCATGAATGTAGTTAAGCTATGGTGAATTACAGAGATGGCAAAAGTACACACATCCTTTTCTCAAGTAGAAGTACAGATACTCGTGTTTAAAAATACTAAAAGTAGAAGTACTGACTAAACTTCTTTACTCAAGTAAAAGTAAAGAAGTATGGGCTTTGAAATGGTTACGTCCCGTCTAGGGTAAGAGGAATGCAACATACACCAGAATGGAATTGGTAAAGTTACAAGGGTTTATTTGTACAACAAGTTAAACAAAAGGCAGGCAAAACGGCCGGGCACAAACAAAAGAGGCCAAAAGGGCGCAGGTTAAACTAAAGAACAAACACAAGGAGGACTCTAATAAAATAAGCATGTTCAAAATAGAGATAAGGATTTACAACAAAAAGAGACGGTAGGCAAACAAAGCTACCTGTGAGTACAACAACTCAACATAATGCTAACCATAGGTACACCAATAAAAGCACATCTTCCATCTAATTTTACCTCAAATCATTCATTTGTTTCAATCTTAACCAGATCAATACCATCTTCTGTCTTACTAATTCATATTTTGCTAGCAGTTTCTCTTTACAATATTTCCTTTCTGTGTTTTCAGAAGTATGATGCCCAAGGCCCTGGACGGTCAGATTGTGATGGAGAAAACGCCTCGTTACTTCGTCACCGTGGAAACGCCAGCACGAGTCCATGCCATGTCGAAGGATGTGAAGCTGATCGTGGTTGTCCGTGACCCCGTGACCAGAGCCATATCTGACTACACACAGATCATCTCCAAGACCCCCGACATCCCCCCCTTCGAGAGCCTGGCCTTCAAGAACCGCACTAACGGTATTGATCCCACTGTTTGGAGCATGAACTTCGTATGACATCACATCAAACAGACAAACATGGGGTCTTCCTGGCTATTGACCCTTGAGCTTTTTAGATGTATCACTCCGTTTGTTCCCTCTTAGTCTCTACAATGCTCTTCTGCAATTACTTAATGTGGGCAAGAACATCAAATACATAACACTGACCGGCAAACAATCCCAAGTGCAGGTTTAAAGAAAAGAAGCATGAGACAACTCAGCTTCATTAGACAACAGGCGTTTAACAAAACAGACTCAGGGAATGTGACAAGAAGCGAGTGCATACAAGGTTATATTTAGAACACACGAGGTCCAGTGTGGAGGAATCTATTAGCAGAAATAGAATATAATTTTAAAGACAATTTTTTAATCAGCTGAAACAAAAACACCTGTACATTAGCTTAGAGCAGGGATGGGCAACTTTGATGGTGGTGGGGGCCACATCATTGATGTACTGGCCTCCAGGGGGCCGCAGATTCACTTGGAACACACACACACAAAAATTCCATGTGTTGTATGTAATTATTAACAAATATACTAAGTCTGACATCTTCATTGACATTTTACAATCAAAGGGAACATCCCCCAAAAATGGGAACATCCTCTAATAAGCTCACTAAACAAATATCAGTTCACAGAAATGTTATTTCATTTTTACAAGTGGCATGTTTGTATTGAACAGGTTATTAAACAGTGGAATAAAACTATTTTAAACTATTGGAAAGCACAGAAAATGTGTGTGTATTGAGATTAACCATTAGATGACATACACATTAAGTCATGAACACTAACCCAGACATTAGTTGTCTAACTTGAACCTAAAACACTTGTAGCCAGTCTCTGCATTCCCCTTATTCCACAATAAGGGGAATGTCAACACAGACAGATGTCAGCCCGCACTCTGCTGTTCCTCAGCACCACTCCCCCTCCCTCCCGCTGAAATTATGAATGAAAAGCGTAGTAATCATAGATAACACGGCAGGGTCCGTGACCAGGGCCGTATCCAGGATTTCCTAAATACCGAGGTCCAAATATGTTAGGGGGGTTCGGGGGATACCCCCCGTGATTTTGGGGATTTTCATGATCTACTTAGGTGCTTTTTAAGTCCTGTGGAGGGTCACACATTGGATAATATATTGATTTCAAACCATGTCAGTGGGCTGACAATGTCAGCATCAATTATTTTTGAAAGTGTAATGCATAAGAATCAGTTGATTACTATTAATGATCTGGACACGCAGAAGAGGCTAAAATGATCACAAAACATTGTCAACATTCATTTTCCATGTCTCTCTCCTTTCCATAACCTGCCCCCTCTCTTCCATCTTCTTTAGTCTCTCTGTCTTCTTCCTGTTCATTACTCTATCTGTCCTCTACTCTTTCTCTTTGTTCAATCTCTCCCTCGTTGTTCACTTGTTGCTCCTCCTCACTTGTCGCTCCTGCCAGTGAATTAAAAGCAATTCAGACATTTAGTTCATTTCACTTGTTTGTTTGCATTCTTTTTAAAAAAATCTGTTTTGTTTGATTCTCAAAAGAGAACAAAGATGTAAGCAAATTGTGTTTTATACAATTGTATGTTATTATGACATCATAACTGCAATAGATGTATGTTGTTTTACAATTATGCCTATTGTCTATATTGTAAATGAAGACTATTGTTATAGATGTATAGATAGATAGATGTATAGATGGATAGATGGGGTTATTAAGCCTACATTATTTTTGTGTGACTGTACCTGCAGTTCCTCCCTGACTTCCATCACTTTCTCTCTCTCTCTCTTTCTCTCTGCCTGTCCTGTCTCTTCCTTACCAAAGCTGAGCTTCGACTGACGTAGTCTTTTCATTATATCTGAGTCAGTGTAAAAAGAAAACAACACAATGTTATATCTCCAATGTTTTACTCAAATTGAAATGAAAGAAAAGCATTACAACGTGTGTTAAAAAGTCATCCTTCTGACATTGGATGAATGTAATTAACTGTAGCTCTCTAACTAGTTTATTCACGCAATTTAAACCAAAGTATAGCCTAAAGCTGCAATATAAGTTAGTGTGCATGTTGTCGGACGTCCACTGACTAACGTAGAGCATTCACACAGGATCTGCTGGTCATATGATGTCCTGATGAGCAGAAACACAAGCAGCCCGCTAGACTCAGATCACTCCTTCGCTGCTCCGGTACAAGTCCGGTCTGCGGTGGTGTGTTGATACATGTCGTCTTCTTCTGTTTGCTTTAACCGAGGCTACGTACTTATGCAGCGCCCCCATCGTCAGTAAATGGAAGTACTACAAAGAACCCCGTTTAGTGCAATTATTTCACAAGTTTAGTTATACACAGCTCGAAAAAAATTACCGAGGTCCGGACCTCGGTGACCTCAATGGTGGATACGGCCATGTCCGTGACAGTTTGTTTTCATCTGATTTCAAATAAACAAAGTCTTGGTTTTAAGAATATTAAACTTGTTTCGCCAAATTCAGATGATAAAAATAACTTTTAAGCTTGTAAAGGCATAATTACAAGAGGCAACTTAACGTCACAGCAGGCATAACAACAGCCGGTGTTTCTTGTGAGGGTTTCCCCGGGAAACAAACACAATACACACAAATGCGTCACAGATTATTTCGCGGTATTTGAAATCATCTACGCAGCTCGCGACGTAACTAGGAGTCTAGTGGACGGTATCAGTACTACAAGTAAAAACATTTTATTTAATTTTTTATAATTTTTTTTATTAATTATGTTGTTTATAAATTAATCTGAGGGCCGCACAAAGAGGAGGTGGGGGCCGCATGCGGCCCGCGGGCCGCCATTTGCCCATCCCTGGCTTAGAGTGAGACCATCATATCTAGGCCTACATGGGAGCCAGCCCTCTTCCACAGAGTCTGTCGTTTTGCATCACTATGTTTGTACACTTGTCTGAATGGTGTTGCTCTTAAATTAGTGTTATAACGGTAATGATGGCTGCTCAAAGAGGCAAAGGTCCAGAAAGACACAACGGCGATACCATGATTTTGCACTTGCTGTGTGTTGTTATGTTACCGCAGTCTTGGAAAGGGAGAGGTGAGTGACAGGGTGTTCATTTGATTGAAATCCACAACCTTTTGGCAACATTTAGCAATCTATGATCTATCTGCCACTACATACAATTACATTTTCCTTTAAATCAAACAAACAATTACTTCTTGAAATCAGCTAAATCAACCATGCCAGCAGACTTGGATGTGTGGCAATAAAAGTGCAGCAGCAGTGAGAAATAGATGTGAGCTGCAGGAAGTGAGAGCAGATGGAGCAGCTTCAGAGCTGAAGCCCAGGTGAAGAGGATCAAGCTGACCAGCCTCCATGTCAGCCAAGTGCTGTGGAGGTCTGCCAGCACAGAGACCAGAGATGATCTCAGGTCTGAAATTATCAAACCTTATCAAACCTAAACTAAAATGTAGGGTTATAAATATTTGATATTAAATATACAAATATTTAAATACGAAACTATGGACTAGTGCAATATTCAAATCGGTACTGGTAATTGTAAGATATTTTAAAGGCAATATATCTTCACAATATCATTCTGAATTAAGTATTGTAGAGCTGCAAAAAAGTAAATGTAAATATTGTTTCACAAGTGATAATTCCCTCTAAAATCACAATTGCAATATCAGCCAAAATAAACACAATTGTTTTTGCAAATCGTGCAGCCCATTTCAGGTGAACTAACATATTTTGTAAAAACATGCCTGAATTCCTTCTCACCAATATGGCATTTTCTGGTTAGGGCTAGTGTCACATAAACCTACAAATCAGGATTTTCAACGAGCAATTGGAGCTTTGGGTAAGGAGCAATTGTAAGGTTTTATTGAATTTAAGGATTAATAATGCTGTAGTTGAAGGTATTTAAAGGACATTTTAAAACATGGTCCAATAACACCACCTGGTAGCATTTTGAATTGAAATATATAACTCGTGTTTCTTCGTTTGTTTTGGCCCTTATTGGAATAAAATGGGGCGTGATCCTAAATTTTACCTTTTGCGAAGTGTATGGAAAATCCCCAAGAAGTAGGGGAAAAGCTGGATATGTAATCTGGCAAATCCGGCTTTTCGAGGCCAAAACCCTAACCCTGTACTACTGTAGGCAAAAAGCTCATTAGTTAAATACAACATTTAGTAAGGGTTTGAGAGGATGGGGGAAATTATGATTTTGAATAAAGAGCCTTGGTGTCTCTGTCTTGTCTCCAGGTGAGATCGACTCTCTGTGGAGCCCGCTGTGGATCGGTCTGTATGCCCAGCACCTGGAGCGCTGGCTGGCCTGGTTCCCCAGGACCCAGATCCATCTGGTCAGCGGGGAGAGGCTCATCTCTGACCCGGCCGGGGAACTGGGCAAGGTCCAAGACTTTCTGGGTCTCCAGAGGATTGTCACAGACAAGCACTTCTACTTTAACAAAACCAAAGGCTTCCCCTGCCTGAAGAAGCCGGAGGGCAGCAGTAAACCTCACTGCCTGGGGAAGACTAAAGGGAGGATGCACGCCTCCATCGACCGGGAGGTGCTGCAGAGACTTAGGGAGTTCTACAAGCCCCACAACCAGCGCTTCTATCAGATGGCCGGTCAGGACTTTGGATGGCAGTGACCCATGATGGTTTGGAATCAAGAGGTGTGTTGGCTTTGGTTAGAAGCCTGAGCAATTTACGGAAACAGATGGAGTGCAAAAGATTCAGAGAACTAAACCACTTGAACCCTTTGACCAGCAGAGACTTCTCAGGGACTTTACTATGAAAGCCCTTTGTCAATGTACTCACCTCTATCAATCAATCAATCAATCCATCATCTTGTCCAAGTGTTTGAAAGACAGCAGTCATTTGTCTATGATAGATGTTCAGATGTTCTTTTGTGGAATTGAACAAAGTTTTTCCTTCGCAACTTTTTGGTTTGTTGAGCAGCATTGATACATGATAAACCGTCTCTTCGTTGACGTTGCAGTTGTGTTTCTATGAAGAGAGCGGTGTTGCCTGACCAGGCGGAAGAGCTACTTTTGGTGTTGCGCACCAATCTAACTGCGCTCAAAATTCTGATTATTTCGACTTTGACCCCGTTACTGCTGACCTTTCGACGCGCAACCAATCAGATTACAGCTGAATGAAGCGACGCAAGCTAGCAGGGGTTGTCACCATAGAAACAAATCTTAACTTAATTTATTTTCACAGCAATGCTCTGTGCCCAACCTCAGGGTGAGTGGGGAACAAATAGCGTTTCATGTCAATGCAGCTTTAGGCTACTTATTTCTATCCCAGGTGGTTAAAAAGACGTGTCTGTGCAAAGTTGGTCATGAAACATGGCTGCTGGTTACACCTGTAGAAAGTTGAATAGTGGAATACGCAGTGTAGTATTAGCGTATCTGGTTTGCAGTTTAACCCTGCATGAACAAGTTGGTAGTGGCACAATGATGCATTTTCACATTCCTGAATTTCCAACTTTCTTTTTCTCCTTTGTTTCCAGTCTTGTTTGTTAAGAAAAACAGGGCAGTCAATGCATACACTTTAAGTATAATACTCCAAGCATTTTTCCTAAAACGGGGGATGAATCTTTAATGTAGCGAGCAGCAGAGGGGTGAGAGAGAGTCTTCATAGGAGCTGTGACTGAGTGGTTTTGTATTCCTGAATAATGAATGTGATAGATGGATGCAGGGAGCGGGTGTAGATCACTTGCTTCCTCGCCTATTGGCACTTTTATGTGCTAGACTTAGAGTAGCATCCAACTGCAAACCCCCCACACTGTACCTTGAGTGTAATAAAGGGACCACTGGAGAACAACCACAACAAGAGCAGGTCCAACCACGAGGTCCTCCTGTATCTTCTCACTGTGTGACTGTGAGAAGCCTACAGGGTTGTCTGTTTTCAGTTTGCATGTATTTGCACTAGTTTGAAAGCATACTGATTAAATTATTTTCAAGCAAAAAAGGATCTACAATTTATTCATTGTGTTGATTTTTTTACATTTCCCATTTTTCTTATTGTTTGCCATCAAATGCTGTTGTTATAAGGTTTCATTGAGCTTTAATGAGTGGGGTATGGTTAATGCTAAATACAAACAATATTATAGTGTATTTGCTTTGCGAATGTAGAACTGCTTGATTTATAGATAATGACCTACAAACGGGTGGTGGAAGAAGTACTCAGATTGTAAAAATACTGCGTCCTGCATTACAAAATCTTAACGAAAAGAACAAAGTAGTGGCACAGAGAAATACCTAAAGTACCAAACGTATAAGTACTTATTAAGCGTAATGGTCCATTTCAGAATCATATATTTGAATTGACTGAATCATGATTATTGATGCATTAATGAGTTCCATCACAGCTGCTATCTTAAATATATGTAAAAGTGTGTTTATTAGTTGATTTATATTTTGTATTAGCTAATAATCTGAATCTGTAAAGTAACTAAAGCTGTCCAATAACTGTAGTGGAGTACAAATTACAATGTTGGCTTCCAAAATGTAGTGGGGTTCAAATAGTATAAAATGTAGATATTTCAATGACCTAACAATACCCAAAGATTATATTTAAGTACAGTACTTCAGTAGATGTTCTACTACTCTACACAACTGCTACAAAGTGCCTTGTTGAAAAGATGCAACAAAGTGGGTCCTGTTATATTACCAAGGAAATGTATTTAGTTAAGAGTTGTACTGTTGATTTGTTTGGCTGATTCTAACATAAAAGAGGTAAATTACAATGAAATAGTTAAATCTGTAACAAAACACATTCTGGTATTTGCAGTCCTGTGTGTATACATATATTAAGATAAAAACAAGAAAGATGTATTTTCATAGGAAAAATGTAAGTCTGCCTTCTTAAAGACAAAAATAGTTATTGTAATGTCTCGAGTTAGAGAACACCGCCATCTGGTGGACAGCAGAGGGAATGCAAGGACATGTTTAGAAGAAAACATTCAAAACAAGCTGCTTCTTTATTATGATATTCTCTCCTCCTTCACCTTTAAATAATATATTTTCATATAAATGTATTCATATTAATATTAGGTTGCAAAAAAACAAAAATGGACTAAAGAAACACTACACAAAAAGTGTCACCGTAAACAAATCTGACATACACAAAAAGACAACAATCCATGCGACAGCATATATTGCAACAAAGGATCAAATATAAACTGAATCAGAATACATCTTTAAGCTGTCTACAATACATTTCACTTTGAGTTGAACATATAAATAAACATAATATACATTTTCAAATGCACTTAAAATACAGTAAATTGCAAAATTCCAGGTCTGGTTGTTCATGAATACTATTTGTGTAAATATACATAAGAAAAGTTCCCCTTCATGTAAAGAGGTTTAAAAGAGTGGGCTCTCGCTGATGAGTTTTGGCAGTTTGCACAGACAGCTACATGTTTCCTCTCAAGCAGTTATTAGTCGGAGGAACAGCATCGCCTTTTCAAACGGTGACATGCTGTTGGATCAGAAGCACGCTGCTGTAGGTAAAGGCACTCAGCATGGCCTGTAGGCACCCCCCACCCATGTAACACTTTACACTCAGCTATATATTCATGTGGGTGGAGCTACAGTCCTCAGGTCCACCTTCTGTTCATTCCTTCCATGGCAAGACAAGTACCAGTGTGATCTAGGGATGAACACCTGATGAGGTGTTTTAAGCTACTGAATGCTATTTGGTTCATATTTCGTGTTGGAGGCAGTGCATCATTATTCCTTATTAGAATCAATGTGAGGAGCTCCTTATTAAACAATGTGTATCTTTAGCTGAGTGAGCCACAGAGAGGAATGGACACACTTCTTCCTCAATGAATAAAATCCAAAGGACAGCTAACCGAGAGGCTTGAGAGTCTTAAGAGTGTGCTTGTTTAGAATGGAAGAGCTGAAGGACCGTTGTTGCGGCTAGTCATCACCATAGAGCGTTATCTCAGTTTATATCTCCTGAGCTTCACCCTCCTTCTAACTCACAGGGTTTAAGCAGTGACCCTTCATATTGCTTGGGAAGAGGTATACAGTTAGTTTACACACACTAACGCAATCATAAAGCCGATTATACGGTGTCCGGTTCAACACTGCTCCTTACAGGTGCTACACGTAACATCCATACGTCATCACCAACTCCATTCTGAGACATTAGCATAGTTTCTGTAAACAACCGAGACCGCTGCTGTACCTTTATCCTGCAATTTAGATTGGATTTAGTGGGGAATCTGTTGGAGTGCTTTGCAACTGCAGGAACAGAAGAGCTTCTGGTAACTGTGAGGGATGGAGAAGGTTACAGGCTGCTGGGAAAATCCTCTCCATTATGTCTGTATTCTTTGGAAAGTTAAGCTCCCAACAGGTCTTTACCCACACTGAGAAAATGTTTGCCTGGTTTGGTTTCAAAATATCAGTGGGCAGATAATTTGATCATAACAAAAAGGTCTGATTTGATGTTAATGTTACAAAAAAGACATGCTAGGAAAGAAAGTAGAAACCCTAATCATTCAACCCTTAACTCTCTGCAGATGGGTGGAACCGTGCCACAAAATATTTGCTGGTAAAAACAAGGGTTTGGCTTAATAACAATTATATGATAATACTTTCTTGGGTATTTTTGCTGATCCGGTATGCCAATTACCTCCTCCTCACTCCCGTCAGGATTTAGATTTGAAACTACGGTAAGTTATTAGTACATTGTCAACAAAATAAAACTGCTATCTGTGCATGTTGCATTCCTATTACTGTTTTAAGCTAGCTACCTAAAATTATATCCAATTGTATCTTTTAACATAAAACCTGTGGTCCATAAAAAAGGTTGAGGACACCGTGTTGATGGTTAACCATGTCTTTTTATACCCTATTATTTTGGTGTCCACTAATGACCATATAATATTGGAGGCCATTTTATTTACTACATTTGAGCTTGGAGAATATTTTCCATGTCTTATTTCCAACAAAATGTAAAGTTCAAATTGTAACACAAATGTACTAAAATGCTTAGTGAACATAGGTAGACATATAGGAAGCTTAAGACACTGTAATCATTATTAATTAGATTAGATGTTTGAGTTTTTTTTTACATTTGGCCAGAAACAGAACTCCAAATGAAAGGTGCTAGATTTTGAAACCGTTTGCTAACAAGCCCTCGATAACTTTACAGCGTCTCTTATCCGTTTGACGATTGGATCTTTGTGGGTAACCAAGCACATCGGTCTCATGCTGTTTACGGTAATTATATTATTGTTCCACACTGAGCAGCCAATGACCTGCTGATGTATCAGCTGCCACTCGCTCTCCTCAGCAGTACTCCTCGTGCTGCGAGTCGGGCAGGTCGTTGAGGTCCAGGAAGAGGGAGGTGTTGGAGAGTTTGCGGACGTTGGGCGACAGATCCAGCAGCTCGTCGGCGTTGCTCGGCACAGAGCTGATGTACATGTCCCACACCTGCTCCGGGGAGTCCAGCTCCAGCAGCTTCTGCTTGATCTTCAGGTTCTTCTCGATGTTCCTGCGCTTGTGCTTGAACTCCAGGATGGTTTTGGTGTAGCGGTTGATGGTGGTGACGGAGGACGCCATGCAGGCTGTGAAGGAGCTCCATGCCAAACTGAGAGAAAGAGACACACAGTTTGAGATCCTTTCTACTTTTTATCCATATATTTATCCATTATTTTATATTTTATTAACTACTCAAGAAGTGATAAACCATCATACAACGGACTGAATATATGGACTTCGTATCATAAGAAGGTGTTAGTAGAACAGGAAGACGGAGAGAGAAGATAATAGACAAATACTAATCAACAATACAAAATAATATGAAAGGATAATTCAGAACCTGACAGGAAAATCTTGTTTTTGTGAAATAAAAATAAATAAGTATGTGCTATTATCTTGAAATATGAAATACTTATTCACCCTTTTTTTCATAATCAACACATACATATTGTGTGACAGGGGAACACAGCTTGTTATTATAATTAAACATACAGTACTTTCAAATTATATATCACACCTTTTTTTATGGCCTTTCTCATTCTCAAGACTGAATAATGAATGGCTGTGATGTGAATGACTGGGGACTCACATGTAGGACCAGCTGTAGTCCCAGGTCTGAGGCTTCCAGTCCTCTGGGCCCAGGCTGACAGTCAGCTGGAAGGCTGTGGTGAACATCATGTGGGCCACCATGCCCAACAGACCTGTAGACAGAGAGTGACCAGAGATGAGAGAGGAAATCACACTGGCCCAGTTCCAATCCGACCCCCTAGCACTCTGTGACAGAATGAACTCCGTCTGTAGTCTCAATCTGAGCTGAATGAGGCCCTGCTTTTTAAGGTGGAGGGTGTAAATACAGTGGTAAGCTTCGGAATGAACTTCTCTATCTACGACAGAAAAAGGAACTGGCGAAGGTTTTCCTGATTTGACACCTCTCTGACAAAACGTATTAAAAGATAATCATAGTAAAACTCTTTTTTGTAAACCTCTTCTCATTTTAAATGAACCACTTTAGAGTTTTTTTTAAATATCTGCGTTGCACCAGGTCAGGTAGAACAACAGGTGAGGTAAAGGCAGATGCAGACTGCTGTGGGTAGGGAGAGAGTGTGTAGGGTCACCCTGTCCTGACATCCTACTGACCAATCACTGCACTTCTCTGCAGTCACCACTTGGTGGCAGTGTTTTATCATGTTAGACTGAGTACCTATTGGAGCAGCAAAATAAACCTTGCTTTGAGTGGATGTTACACATGAATGCATTTGACTGTAGTAATAAAGTACATGCTCAAGTTGTGTATTTAACCTTCCTGTTGTCCTTGGGTCAAATCTGACCTGTTCTCATTTGATTTTATGTCGGTATAAACGTTTATTTTATGTTAGTGCCAGAAAAACAACATGTTTACTTGCATATTATTCCCAAGAAAATAATTATGATCACTTTCATTAGGTTTTGGATGTTATGCATCTGTGGTCTTGTGTGGTCAATTTAGGTCAATAATTCAATATCTTTTCCTTTTTTAACCGAGAAATAAGGGTTGATTTTGTGTAAAAGAGGTCTATTGACCATACATAAGAAAAAAGGGTTAGGTAGAATTCTAAAATACTAGTACTTTACCTGAGTATTATCATTTGATGCTACATAAACAACACTGATACAAAATGTAACACTGCAAAAACACTGCTCATGACTATAAAAGGTGGAGGGCAGAGGGGCTCCAGGTGAACACGATCAGGTAATCAGACAGGAAGTGACACAGGGGGTCAGCACTCTTCAAAATAAAACAAGAAAACAGAAAGATCATGACAATATGATTTTATTTTTATTAGAGTGTGCTTGCCTCCTTGATATTTGAATCTACTCTTTTTGTATTATTAGCGGCACTGTAGCTTTGCTGTTGTAATGCTGTATATTCAATATATGTATATTTCTTATTTCTTCCACTCTACCACATTTAAAAAAGCCAATGTTGTACTTTTTAATGCACTACATTTATCTGACAGCTTTAGTTACTTTACGGATTCAGATTTTCAGCTAATACAAAAATATAGATGGACTAATAAATAAGCATTGACATACATATTAAGATATCCAGCAGCTACACTGAACAAAAATATAAACGCAACACTTTTGTTTTTGCTCCCATTTTTCATGAGATGAACTCAAAGATCTAAAACATTTTCTATAAACACAAAATAACCATTTCTCTCAAATATTGTTCACAAATCTGAAAAAATCTGTGATAGTGAGCACTTCTCCTTTGCCGAGATAATCCATCCCACCTCACAGGTGTGGCATATCAAGATGCTGATTAGACAGCATGATTATTGCACAGGTGTGCCTTAGGCTGGCCACAATAAAAGGCCACTCTGAAACGTGCAATTTTGCTTTATTGGGGGGGGTCTGGGGGGGTCCGAAAACCAGTCAGTATCTGGGGTGAGGGGTAGGGTTAGGGTTAGGGTAATGTTGTGAATCGAGTGGCCCATGGTGGTGGTGGGGTTATGGTATGGGCAGGCGTATGTTATGGACGACGAACACAGGCCACTCGATTCACAACATTACCCTAACCCTACCCCTACCCCTCAAAGTCAAAACCCTCAAAGTACACCCTTTAGCGAGTAAAACTCTAACACAGAAAATACCTGTCTATACTGCCCCAGAACGCCTCGTTGGACATTTTTCTTTTTCCATTTTTTCTTCCTGAGTATGGTGACGTGACCATGCCCAGGTCCAAATGGACCAATCCGTGGAGCTCCTCAGGCTGAGTTCCGCAGTGTCTCGCTGTCTCGCAGACCCCACGCAGCAACCAGGAAACGACACCAGTAATCCAGCTCACACTGTCCGCTCCTCGAGCCTCAAAGGGCGGGGCAGCGAGCCCCGCAACGTCACGCCAACACGGCACCCAGACCCCACGCAGCATTCTCATCTGTTTGTCATTACTGGTGTCATTTTCTGGTTGCTTACAAACGCCATTGTCACACACAAACACACCTCAGAGCACAGTGGGCTCATAGGGGGGGGGAAGGAGCTCCAACAAGGCGTGTAGGACAGAGAGTGAATACACATACTATACAGAGATGCTGTATGAGAAACCAATGTGAGTTTGGAACATTGAACAATGTAAATCTATTCTAGTATACCTCAACAATGGAATTATGATTAGTAGAAATGGCCATGACATGGGACCTTTAAGTAAGATTTCAAATGCAGGTCTTTCAATTGCTACTTTTACTGCACTAACAACCTGATTGCTTACCACCTCTGGAAACTAATGAACAAAACACCACAAATACCTTTTTTCTGACTGGAGAACAAATATGTTTGTCTTTTTTGTGTGACCTTTACTGCTATTTAACAAAAAATAATGAGCTCACTTATTTCCAGTGAGGAAGAGCAACTAATTTAATTTATTCAAGTTATTTATTACTTGAAATATTCAGGACTTAGTTGTAATAGAGTATATTAACATTGTGTTGATATGCTTACCAAAGTACAGTGTGCTTCTCCATTCACTGCTTATTGAGCGCTATGTGCATTATAATCAGGGGTGCACATAACTTTTTTGCCCTGGTTCTTAAACGAGCACCTGGAGATGTTGCTTGGTGCTCATCCTTAAAATGAAATAAACCGTAACTTTTGAGGGGGTCTTGACTTTATTTGCCAGACACACGGCGCTGAACACACATGTAGAGGTGAACACACACATGCAGAGGTGAACACAGAACACACATGCAGAAGTGAACACTGAACACATATGCAGAGGTGAACACAGAACACACATGCAGAGGTGAACACAGAACACACATGCAGAGGTGAACACAGAACACACATGCAGAGGTGAACACAAGACAACATTAGCACGAGCAGTAATCCTACAAGCTGTCATCACTACCCTCCTGACTGTTCTCCTCACTGTCTTCCTCTCTGTCAGACATGGTAGCTGATGATGTAGGCCTACTTCTTTCTCTCTGGTTGAGTCTGCGATTAGCTGCTTGCATCCACAAGTCAACAGCTGGTTTTGGGTCGAAAGTCTCTGTTGTCATCTTAGACAAGTGGATGTAATCAAATAAGTATGTGAACATAACCAATAACCTACCATAGCCAATAACAAATGAATGTAACTTATTTTATTTGTGTTGTTCATTCATATCTTATTTTACCTTAACATTTATTTATTTATGCATTTTTGTTTTGTTTTAAAGGATATTTTTGGTTACTGTCCTATAGTATACATTGGAATGATTTAAAACCTGTTTATCCCAATAATTATAAAGGAGTGCCTTGGAAATGTGTGTTTACATAAATTGTGACCCACAAACACACACAGTTTGAACTTAGACTAAAGTGATTGTGAACTATCTAAACACTCAAGAGTCCTTTACCTCACTGAGCTGTAGTATCAGCCTCTCAGTCTGACAGGAGAGGACTCTCCCTCCACATTATTGTAGAAACATCTTCTTCTTACATCCGTTAGAGCAGCTAGCACCAGATTCTAATAACAACAGCGCCGGTACCGGGCGGTGCGCCCTTCTCTCTCTCTCTCGCTCACTCGCATTTAGGCTGTGAGCTGCGGGCGCCAGATAAGCCAACATCCCCCATTTTCATCACTGACAGCGCCCATCGTACAGGGCAAATGAAACGTGTAACCGGGGTGAAAAGGGTGTTACATTTACTTAATTATGAATATTGTTACATCAAGGCCGAAAATTAGGATGAGCGCCAACGGTCAAAAAAATTGTTTCCCCTCCCAGAGCTGTCAGCGCAGCGCCTGCCCAGATCTGGCGCCCTAGGCGAACATCTATAACGCCAGGGCTACGGGTAGGGTTGCCAACTTCCAGAAATGGAGAAACGGGACACCCGCTCGCGTGCACGCGAAGATTTTCGGGTTTCTGGCGGATTTAGTTACTTTTTTTTGTTACTTTATATCGGTTTTAGGGTTAGGGTTATGTTATTTAATTCTCTTGGGGGAGCCAGCCCCCTAGGGTTCGAGGGGTCAAACCCCCCAAAACCCTCAAAATGCATAGAATGCATACCTATAACACAATACAAACACAATGGTCTTACATCTGCATTAGGCTACTAGATCACATTGTACATCAGCATGTTCAAATCGGATAGGTGGGCACTAGGGACATCTGGGCACCTCGATGTACAATTGGCTATTTTGTCCAAAAAAATGGTATTAAGTAATGCAAAGTATACATGATGTGAACATGCACGGTACATCATTATTAGACTTAATGTTATCCTTCAACCAACCATTTCCCCAGCATTTTCCCATCAATCAGCTGACTGACCAGACCCCTCGTCAGAACAAATCTAAAGGGAGGGCATATGATTTTCTTGGGAGGGCACAACACCGTCACGTGCTTTGTGACTCACAAACAAGAACAAAGAGATTGGATTACCATACACTTTCTATCTCACAAATTGTGAGATAGAAAGTGTCAAAAATACAGACTGGGGCTCACGTCGAGCTGGCGGTCCATAAACGGGACCCTTTACAGCATGATCTCACACCTCTGCAAACTGACCAGGTACACCATAAATCCCTTTTTATCCACAAATACATTTCTCTTTGAACTCGGTCCCGAGAAATATAATTTAAAAAAAATACAGGAACCTGACTACGTTCACATTAATCGGCCTACAGGTCTAGTGACAGACTGCAACATGGCGGCAAAGGACCACCCAGCCTGCTCGTTAT